AAAAAAAAAAAAAAAAAATCAGATTTTTTAATGACAGCAGATGTGATTTCAAAGATTTATATAAATGCATACTGAGCACAAACTGCACGCCTACAAGAGATATATAGCCATTTTCAGCGAAATACGGTTACGTTACTTAAGATATGAAACCTTCGAATGTAACATTAATCTTGGGTAGGGGCAGAAACGAGTGAGTGGAACGATGTGAAACCTTATACGAGGTGCCCACTATGGATGAGATCGGCTGATCGGGCCTATCGCCCGACTCGGTCGCCTAAAAAACAAACGTGTTTGTTTCTAGTTTCAGGCGACCGAGTCCAGCGATTGGCCCGATCCAACCGTAATGGGCACCCCGTATAAGGTCAAGAAAGCCTAGATTTGAACATTTGAGCAAGGATCGCACCCAGAGACGTTTAGAAATGTTATAGCCAAATAAGTGAAATCCCGATCCACGTAGCCTATGGTGGTTTGGACATTATGTAATCCCGATCGAACCGGCCTCTGGGGTGGTGGAGCGGTGAGGTCCTTCGCTGTGGTACAAAGAAAACCCAAGTTCGATTCCCGAGCAGGAAGAATTTTAAATCGAGTATCTCGACTATCTGCTAGTATGTTTGTGTGTACGGTCTATATTGCATCGATAAGGGCCTAAAAACAAGTACATTTAAAACGAATTCATCTCGACATGACATCAGCAGACACAGCATCATGGTCATAATTTCCACAACATTTGAATGGTTTTAACACCTCTTTCGACACAATAAGATCATATGAAAGGCGGGACCTCCAGATGTAGCGTTCATCTCCCTTAAGGCCGAGCCAAGTAGAAATTGAAGAGCCTTGAAAACTTTGCAAAACAGTTAAAATTCAGGAAAGCCCCATCGGAATTTGGAGCTCGGACCATCAGCATTATAAGCCAAGCATGATACTACCCAATAAACAACCGTGTGTTCTTTCGACTACGCTCAGAAAAATATGCAGGTCTGTATAGATGCAATCTTTCCTTTTCCCAACCTATACTATTCAGAAAAAAAAAAACTGTTGAAGAAAAATCTGAATCATTTTTTAAAAGAAACACTCTAAAATCTGCATGTGGAGGAAGAAAAATAATTGAACTTGTCTAAAAAGATATTATATCTCCCACCCCTCCCCTTTACGCACACTTCTATTCATCAACTTACAAAACAGTGTCGATTGTGCCTACAATTTTCTTAGTCACTCTATTTTACATCTACGTTGCTTGTTATATCAATATAATATGTGAGGCAGCGTGGTGGAATCAGGCTCTCGTCAATTTTTGGGCATGTAGAGTTATTGGTGTCATCTTAAAGCTTGTTCACTTGTCCTTATTTCAATGAACATAATATCCATTTATCTGAGTACAAGTCGAGATATTTGCGAATGAAGGAGGTGGGGTCACCTGTTTTCAGAGGTAAAATTAATGAGAAAATGGCCGTCAAAAATTGGTTATTTCCTTAGTTTAAGAGTCCGTGGTAACTGAAAGTTTACATTTTTTGTGAGTTTAATCAACGTTTTAAAGAAAAATCTGTACAGAAATGAGTTCTTTATGGGCATGAAAAGTGTTGAGACAAAAAAAAAAAATTTGATAAAAATTCACAAACCTGTGGACAAATGCAAGTTTCTTCACTTTGATTATTTTGACGAGAGCCTGATTCCACCACGCTGCCTCACATTTCATTTACGTTTGTTTTTCTCCGGAAAGCAGGCACCGATGAAAGACAAGGTTTTTACAATGTTCTAGTCACAGCAATTAAAACTCAAGCAAAACTCACAGTCGCAGAAGACTAAGTCTATTACATTGGAAGACCCGAGAACAAGACAGAAAAATTGAGAATCGGTACCGTAAAGGTTAAATGCCCATTTCAACACAGTGAGGTTATTTAAGAGATGATATTTCGGAATTCAACTTCCATTCCCGATTCAAATGATATGTGGAGAGCATTGAAAGCTTCCGAAAACGAACCTAACTCCAAACACGACCTGCTGGAGATTCAAATCAGGGCCATCCACTTCGTAGTCCAGCATGATACCAGATATAGAGCCGACGTTCATTTTTATCAAATCGGAGAGAAACAAGAGGAACCTCGTCTCCACCCCCCCCTGTTTTCATATACAAATGGATATCAAAGGGACATAAGTCTGCTGTTGCTCTGACTGAACTGCATCTTTTGTTTTATTTTCATTTCTCCATTTCTGGCTAAACAGTATCTTGCATACTATTTTTAGGAACGTGAAACACTGGAAACAGACAATTTACTTTATGAATTTTAATGAATCTCCGAAAAGGTCAAAGACGTTATTAAGTTATTTAAAAAAAAAAATTAGGCACGATCTTATTCTCAGGTCTTCCACAGGGAAACAAAGGGTGCGGACTTGGAGTTTGCCTTCTTCCTTCCGTATGCACAACTGGATGAACAAAGTGTACAAACGACACACAGACGAGCAGAAAGAGACACTGAGGCGTGAACTTTTACATGTATGTTGTATTTTCACTTATGAATGGTAGGATGAAGTTAATGAATCTCCCCTCTCTAAAGGGAGCGACAATGTGTTAATAATGGTGTGTAAGCATTACAGTCGAGAGGATAGCACAGTAAATTTTGATTCTATTGTAGCCTCAAAGAGAGGCGATATAGCACCCATGTAGCCCCAAGCATAAAACAGACGATATTATCATAAGGTTGGGGATACACCGTCTCTTCTCTGAGTAAAGTGACTTAGGAGTGGCAAACGCCCAGGTTTGGTTGTTTGTTAAATCGACAGGTGTGCGGAATCTGTGATCTAGAGGATACTGAACTCTACTGGATGTGACCAAAACGTGACGTTGTGGCCTAGCACCTTAGTCGCCGTCGTATCATGATGTTGGTGGTGACAATGATGTAGAAATCGTGAACCATAACCTTCAGCGACAAGCTACCAGCTGTACCCCCTATCTCGTTGATATGTGTGGTTACAACTTTATTTTATGAAACGCAGTTGAAGACTACAAGGGAAAAACGACTGTAGTCACAAATTAAAAATCGCGAGGGTGCCAATATTGAACGTTGCTGACTCATAACTGTATTTCTGTTCAACTGTTGGTTGATGATTATTGTTGTTAGATTTCCAATTGAACAACACTTAACAATAAACCACCAGTCCAAAAAAAATGGAAATTACGAGTCCACAAGCTTTTAAAATTGGCACACTAACAATTTCCAGTTTGTGACTACAGTTGTTCTCCCATTGTGCTCTTCAGTTTGTCTGGCCATCTGTAACACTATATTTTATTTATAGAGGTCAGAAATCACATGCTAATGAAACAAAAGTTCTTAGTATATCGGCACACGTCACAACAAAGCATTTATTAAATGAAATGATTAGATAGCTTTAAATCTAATGTAGCCTTTACGTATTATCCCATATCTATCGGACATCATGTATATCATGTCTAAGTCCATATGTTGGGTTTTTTTTCTTCTTTTTTCTTTTTTTTTTCTTTTTTTTTTCTTTCTCAGAATGACCTCAAAGTGACCTTTATGTTTCGGATCCTTTCATTAATTCCTAAATCTTAATTTTAGCACTACATCACAATATACGCTACTAGATTCTAAAACCACCGAACGCCCCGCTCCAAAAGCTCCTAAAAGCATTATGCCCTAGGAATTATAACAGTTTGCAGATTTTGCAGATTTTACAGACCACTGACTCGAATCATGATAATATCCTAGATCCTGAACTGCCAGGGTTGCCGCTCTTTGTTCTCAGAGAAAAAATTGCTGTGCAGCGTGCGCACCATGGGCGTCCAAATGAAGAGAAAAAAACAATCTGGTCATAGCCGAGTGCATGCAGCACCTCTCATCCCCCCCTCCCCTTCCCTCCTCCACCTGCCGTTCATTTGGCTCCAACTTGAGCCAATGTGCACTCATGGTGAACCGGAACTACGTCAGAATACACGATTTAGGGTACAGATAATACATGTCAATGGTGAAGACACGGTGTACTTGTAATGAAGGCTGATAAAACATAGAGGCAGAATAATGCATGTTTTCGTGAGAGAGTACTTCAGTGGCTCAATGATTCGGAACTCGATCAAGACAAGAAGGGCAGAAACGTGGATAAGAACGGGGTGAACGGTTTCTTCATCGCCTCCTTCTTCAAATATAATTTATTCCTCTCAGACACGTACTTTGAAACAACAGCCAAACGATTTTCCTTCGAATTGACTTGTCTTGTGCCTAGTAGGACGATCAACCGGCTGAACCATAATCGATGATGGTGAGAGCGTATTATGTAAAGTCCACCGTAACGTTTCAATGAATTCGAAGGCGCTGTTATTAAGAGTTCTTTGAATGAAGTGGTTGTGAAAGGTGATCATGATTTTTATGGCGCTGTCAACCCAAAATGGGTGCATTGTTGTCTTGTATATGTACATAATCCAATATGGCGTCTTATCTAATCATCCTGAAAAAAATCATCGTAACCTCTGATCATGCTCTGATTTCTCGACCTGTACAAGAAAAATCTCGACCTATTCTAATTATCATTATGGGTACACCCTTCACTCAAAATATCACACGTTTCCAGCTGCAGTCACCGCTTGTTGTATTATCATGACAAGATTTTAACTTCATTATTTTTCGGAGAGTTAGGTGGGGAAGGGGGGGGGGAGAACTGAATTGCACACTATATATTACTGCACAGCTTCACACGCTGTGTCAAAGACTAGATACAATCTAACCTGTATTCTTTGTTTTTTGTTAGGGGCTTTACAAATAAGGCGTGAAAACATTTAGGTATAAGATTGTGAATCTTGGAGTTCCATTTTCTCAAAAGTATGCGTCATGGAATTAGAACCCTGTCATTCTAAAGGAGCAATGCTCCATACCAATTCCAAGAGCACATAAAATGCAGCTTTTTAGTGTTCGATGATATACAATCAACACCATAATCTCAATCTGTGTTGCATCTGAACACTGCAAAGAACCAAAACTTTACGTGCATGGGATTATGAGGACTCCAACGAAAGAATTGGCACTTCTCAACTGATTTTAAGAAAAGCAAGCAGCCCATTTTCCATTAGAAACCGCCCTGATTTTCAAAGCCTGCCCAATTTTTTCTTTTCAGTTTTCTCGGTGCCGTGATCGTTTTATCTTTCGTAATAAGATGGGAAGAGACAGAATATTCCATTATAGAGTAAAACGGAAAAGATAGGCTTATAACTAGGGAAATATAAAAGGAGACTACGCCCATTCTTTCGCCCGTGTCCTCATAGACAACCCTGCTTTTCTCACCTTGGCATAAATACAAAACATCTTTGCCCAACACTCTTTGACCATTAAAGATAAAGTAAAGACAACAGATGCTGGGCTTCCTTATCGTGTTCCGGTAAATGCTGTGTCTTGTCGGTTCCCCCTGAGCGTCCAGCAAATCATGCAGTTGCATAAAAGACTTCAACCCGTCTGATACAAATGGTCATAATTTAAAAACATTTCGCTGTTCATTCATGCGACTTAATAATAGTATCCCTCAACTTCTGGTAAACAAGAAATGCACGCACATAGTTCATAGTAAGATTTCCAAACACAAGCGAATACACCTTGAAGATGTTTTAGTATGGAGTCGTGTAGATTTAAATACAACCAAGACAAATGTGAGTTCTTGGACACAGTATTAGTATCCCCTGTTGTATTCTCACATCGTGCAAACACACACTTTGAACACGCCTCTGCATCGACACATTTACACTCTTCCAATCACGTGTACTTTAGACAGTCTTCCTCTAGGAAGCCCCTGTGGCGTCATATCCGCATTGGTACGCACGCTCGATCACTGCAGGTGACGGAGAAACTTGAGGTGGACAGACTGCTCGTCTGCTGGTACGTGTGCTTGATGTTGTGGCTATAACGGTAGCGCGGACAGCAGAAGATCATTTTGCTGAAGGCGCGCCGGAAGTCTCTCATGGACAGTGCGTATATGATGGGGTTCATCCCAGAGTTGATGTACCCTAGCCAGGTGAACACAGGGAACAGAACCTCGGCCCGGTACACGCACTTTTCCTGGCAGATGCCCAACAGAACGTTAAGGCAGAAGAACGGGACCCAGCACATTATGAACACCCCAACGACAATGCCCAAAGTTTTGGCGGCTTTCTGTTCGCGGGCGAGTTTGGTGATCTTTTTACTAATCGCAAAGTGTCTGATCTTCTTGCTGATGAACGTGGTGGAGCGTGGCTGTTGGATGTGGTTGTGTTGGCTGTTGCCATGGTGATGGTTGTTGCCGTGGTGATACAGATGGTGTCTGCTGGAGCCGGTGAGCGGGCTCTCGCTCTCGCTGTCCTCGCTGTTACGATGGTGCTGCTGCTGCTGCTCGAATCCCCCCGGCCCCGACCCGCCCCCTCCGCTGTGATTGTTGGTAGACTCGTTACGTAACCGGTACCCTCCTCGGTGTATCCTCAAGGTCATTAACTCCCCGTCGTCTCCGCGGGGGCAATCGGCCGTGACCTTGCTCCCGCACTTAATGCCCTCTGTCTGCGCGAGTGCCGCGCGGTATATCTTGGCGTAGACGAACATCATGATGAAGGTGGGTATGTAGAAGGACACGACGGATGAGATGATGAGATAGGCGCTGTCGGTCGTGAACTGACACTTACCCGTGTCCATCACGGCCTGCACCTGGCGCCACCACGCGATGGCAGGAAAAGAAATACCGGCGGAACACGCCCACACCAGCGCAATCAGTAGACAGACTTTGTGGTTGGACATGTTGGTTGGGTAGGCGATGGGATCCGTTATGGCCCAGTACCTGTCTAGAGATATGACGCAGAGATTTAAGATGGACGCCGTGGAAGCCAGCACGTCTAACGAGTGCCAGAGGTCGCACCAAGCCTGGCCGTACAGCCATCGTTCATACGTCATCTCCTGACTGATGCTGAAGGGCATCACGACTCCACCCACCATCACGTCGGCGACTGCCAGCGACACGATGAGGTAGTTGGTCACCGTGCGGAGGTACATCTCCCTGGCCACAGCCACGATGACCATCATGTTCCCCGTGACCACGATAAAGCTGAAGGACGCCAGGAGCACGCCCAGGGCCGGGTGTTTGAGCTGGAGAGCCTGGGGGTCAGAAGCGTTGACCGATGTGTTGATGGTGGTCACTACGAACTGTGGGTCAGTGAAGTTAGGGGCGGCGTGACCCACATGCCCCTGGTAGCTCCCATTGGACAGGTCGAGGTAATCATCGTAGACAAAGAGCTGAGAGGCGTTAGAGCTCGCGTTTTGCATGTACGGGCGTTTTCTGGACGAGCGGGAGGTGTCCTTGTTGGGGAAGCTAGTCGTGGCCGAGGATGGGGCGTAGGCAGCCCGGCCTCTCCGCATAGTAAGTGCGCCGTGCTAGAGAATAAACCTGCACACAGAGGCTGGCAGCTGGTCCGAGGTATTTCTCAAGAATCTGTGCCACGTATCCCCACAAACATGTACTCCAAATCACACTTTTCGAACACGTAAGAATCAAGAAGTATTATCCGATGAGTATCAAATACGGACTATGCTTCTTTGAACACACTAAGTAATCTCCCCTTTGATGACGATTTAGAATGGAACTGCTTTCAAACACTTATCTCCTTCCCTCGAGCTAGTCGATGTTCAGCAGAGGTATCTACGTAGATATTACAAATGGCATCAATCAGCCAGAAGCTTGGGGTGATTTGTGAGTTGAAACAGGTAGAAATTATCATTCGCTTGTATTATCATTCAAGACGAATGCTTTCCCTCTGTGGAGTACCCCGGAACAAGACGCGTGAAGAAAAAACAACAGGATTGGCTCAAACGCTGTGGAAATCTTCCCCTGATAACGGACCGTAGATCTCCTTAGTGGTTGCCCGGGATTTCTTGGAGTACGTTTCTGTAGCAGGTAAACTGGTCGTGAGAAGATGGGCCAGCCATGTGCGAGTAACCCATTCCACCAGACAGGGACCGAGCAATCAACCACAGCTCATTGAAGCGTTGGACTGGGCGGGGGGCAGCCGGCTGGGAAAAGGGCGGTAAGTGAGGTCCGTCCAGGTGTGATAGCGCCACGCTTATCTCCTCTTGTCGCCAGGACTAATGCAGCGTACTGGGATGGTGCGACTGGCCAAAGGGGTCATTTGATAGAGGCGGAGGAATCTCCTCACTTAGGGCTGCTTGTCTGTGAACGTCACTGCAGGAGTGATCTGGAATATGAGAAAGGAGGACAAAGATGAGAGAAGGGTAAACCTGAGATTGCAAAAACTGGCAGTGTAAAAGGGGTGG